GGGCTCGCCTCCCCTCTCGCGCCAGCCCGGGCTCGGAGATGCATCTGCATCAGGTCCTCACCGGGGCGGTCAACCCTGGGGACAATTGCTACTCCGTGGGCAGCGTCGGGGATGTCCCCTTCACGGTGAGCGGCGGCCGGGAACCCGCGGGGGCGAGGCCGGGGTTCGGGCGCCGGGGCTGAGAGCCCCCCCAGCCCCACGTCTCCCCGGGGGGCTGCGCGAGGTTGGTGGGCCCGGCTGTCGCCCCATCTTCAGCTTTGGGGTTTAGTTTCCTTTTGGGGCCGCGAGACTGCCCTTTGGCTGTTGTGTGAGGGAGGGGGGTGGTGGAATCCAAAAAAAAATCCCTGTCAGGTGGAATGGGTTTAGAATTTACCGGTCTGCCGCCCCAGCAGAAGGGCTCTGGGGTAACTGGACTAGAAGGTTCCTCTCTTAGGGAGGCCCCTGGGGCCACGATGGAGGAAGGTGGTTGCAGGGCCGAAGCCCCAGAGCGTCCGTTCTGCACCTGCTCCCCCAGTGTTGGGGATGAGACTGGTCCTCGCCCCAGCGTGGAGGCGATGCCGTGCCCGACTTTCCATGCCCGCTGTGACCGGGCTGCGTCCTAGGAGCTGCTGGATTCCGTGACTGTGAACCTGACCTTCCCTATCTCCTGTTATTGTCTTACTGCCAACAGAACAGGAGGAAAAAAATCATTCCCTACCTCCGAAAGATTAGGATGAATGGGTTTAGCTTGACAGTGGCCTGGAAAGCTACCTATTTATAATCTGATTTGGAGCTTGGTTACCCTTCTAGGTAATATTTTAACCTGTTTTAGATTTTTTTTGTTTGCTTTTTAAACCAAAGCAGTGACATTTTTATGGCAGCGTTGATTGAAATGTATGTAAATAACGTTTTGAAATCTCTTTAGAATCTACATGATACAGACATGTCTTTCAACCAGGCTGTACAGCGTGGTCCTTTTTGAGAATGAGATGTTGGTACTGTAGCGAATTCAAGCCAAGCCATAAGAGTGCCTTTTACCCAGAGATACACTGTTGTGGGCTAGTGTTGAGTTCCTTTTTGTATTAAATTTATGCCTGGTCTTCCGTAGAAGGAAGTGTAAGCAACAGATCTTGATTAAACACGTTATTGATAACCATTCAGCTTGAGAAAATTTAGGCAAGGGAAATACTTTGATATGAGTGCTGCTTCCCCACAACATGTTTGTAAAACTGCAGAAATTAGAATGCTCCAGCAAAACTGCAGAATCATGTAGCACAGTTCATTCTGGCACAGAATTAATTTATCTCTGATGTTTTGTGGTGCATTAAAAATACCCCCTACAAGATTACTTTATGGCCATTTAAAATATTTTAAATGCCAACAACCTGGCTTTGATCCACTTTAGGATGAATCTTTAAAAAGCAACAACAAAAAGAATTTACCTGATTTTATAATGCTACACTTGTCACTATCAATAGAGCCATCTCTGTTTTGTTTACAAGTGACTTAACTGATCCCTATGGAATTCAGCTTGGACTTTAAAGATGTCCAGATTGGCCAGGGAATTGGAGGATGAAGTGTTTACCTTTCCTCAAGTTGTGCGGATAGGGAAGGATGTCGCATAGGTTTAGAAGAGCAGGTTGTCTCCATCAAGGAACATTTAACTGGAGCCTTAGATTATGGGAGCATTTCCTACCATCATGGTGGTAGTGGTTGACTGCTTCAACCTCAGGTGGAGTGGTGTTTCACTGAGGCCTGGGATCCAGCCCTAAACAGACTTCGCCGATGCAGTCTGGAAAGGCTAGGACAACCACTGTTTGGGCTGCACTGCTGTGGTGGTGCCATGGGCCACCCATGACTAGGTCCCTGAGGGCTATTCCTAATCTTTTGCTAGCTCTCTATTTCACCCTCTCACTGAGTCTACCCGATTGTCTGCAGCATCTGTCAGATTTTTCCTTTGTCTTGTCCTTAGCTAATACTTTACTGCCGATTCTTATTTGTGCTATTGAAATATCAAATCTTCCAACTGGTTTTCCTGGCACTCATCTCTGATCTTTTCAGTCCGTCCTCCACACAGCTGCCAGTGTAATTTTCTTCAAATCCCATTCTCACCATCTCTCTCACTAGCTCAAGAATATCTATAGTTGGAATAGCTGCCTTGTGAAATTGCAAAGTGTCAAGCATTCGCCTGCCATCTTTGATGTGATATTTGACTATATGCCCTCTTCGTCTTGGCCCCTCTGCTGTTCACATACTGACCGTGTACACTGTCGCCTGCATTCTTACGTTTTGACAAGGGAACGCTCACTTTGCCTCTTCCCACTGACAACTCAGAGTTCACCTTGTTTGGATGCCTCTCCAAGACATCATTATTGTTCAAAGCCCTCTGGCATCGCCAAGTTCATTTTGCACATTGTTTCATTTTAATATCAGAGTTTTGAGTACACTGATTCACAGTTATAATTTTTGCCATAAACTCGAAATGACCTTTTGGTCTCTATGAAAAATCAGATTTGTTTAAAAAATAACCAAGAGCAAGCTGTTTTCAAGTACTCTAGAATCGACTAAGATGTATTTGAATGCCTTTATTTCTTTCGAGCTTTACAAATTAAGCTTCTTTACATAGAACACAGTGTTTGATCCTTATAATAATCAGATGAAAAAACAAAAAAACCCCTGATGTTCTGAGTCAGATGACTAGAGGGGAAACCAGCCAGGGCTGGAATGGAGGTCATGTGACTTCTTAAGAGCAGGGTTTTTCCTTGTAGTACGTTTGCTTCCTAGCCAGGCTGTGCCCTGTGCTCCCTGCAGGGGAGGAGATGTGTGTAGATGGCTACTGTAGGACTCTTACTGCCAGGGATTGGTCCTCAGACAGTGGTGTGTTCCATGATAAGCTGAGGACACTTTCAGAATAGGGTAGTTTGTTTATTTCAGAGTCTATTAACTGAAACATTTTAAAGAGTAGGGTGGTTGAAAAGGATTTTGAAGGGCCATGCTGTAATAATAGAAATGTTGCATAGTATATGATGGATGGTGTGATCCAGCTGGGCCATGAATGACTGCAGTATGCAGTGGTGTTGATGTGGTACTGTTTGGAGCAGGTAATGTAGAAATGTATAGTTTTAGTGGTAACCATGAGAGCGATGACGGTTTCATTCGTTTGTGTTTTTGACAGTCAACAGCAGTTTTTTTAAATGCTCAGTTGTGTTCATTAATATATTGTGTACATATATATCGTGTTTTAAAACGTCACTTTGTGATCATTCTCTTCTTTTCAATTTAAGATCTAAGCTCTGGAAAAAATTTCACTGCATCAAGCCAGGTTCTGGGCAATCCAAGGAGATGATCCATCCTTTTTGTGCTTTACTGGTTTATTTTGCCTTTAAAATTCTCATTATTTACTTTCCTGAAAAACAATTTTAATGAAGCTAGAAACCTTTTCTGTGAACGTTAGAGCATTAAAGCAATATTGGTGTAGTTTAACCCCCCACCCTCACCCTGCCCACCACCATTTAGCTTTAAACAGTAGTGCAGACTCTATTTTCATGTGTATGGGGCAGTTGACATGCCAGTGTAAGATGAATTCAATTCACTGGTTGATGTTTACAGACATGAGTAAGCCCTTTCTATTGTTAGGGAGCATATGCTATACTGGCAGAGATGAAAATGATGTAAATAATCTATCAGGCAGATGGAAACGGGAGCCCACGTGATTTGGAAGCGAAGAAAAGCTTGCACAGAAGACTGGCATTTGGAAAGACACCGAGGTGTCGGGACTTTGTGGATGGTGCGAACAGACCACCCCGAGCACGGGTGTGATGCAGAAAGCGGGCAGCGACTCGATGCTAGGGAGTTGGGGTTTGAGAGTTTTATAGGAGCCCTGGTGGCCCTGGGGGGTAAACATGGGCAGCTAACTGCAAGATCAGCAGTTTCATTAAACTCACCAGACAAAGGAGAAGGATGCAGCTGCCTGGTCCTGTAAAGGTTTATGGTCTCAGAAACCCTAGAGAGGGCCGGCCCTTCTGCGTTGAAATGGTCAAGCATTCAGCTGTTACCCCAAAGGTTGAACCCACCTAGTCCCGTCTTTAGGAGCAAAGACCTGGCAACCCGCTCCCATAAAGATCACAGCATTAAACACAGTTGATCACAGTTTAACGTCTCTACCTTAAAGGGTCACTATGAGTTGGAATTGACCTGACTGCATGCAACAAGTCTCTTCACATTCTCCCCCTTCCTCCCCGCCAACCCACAGGACTTCCTTACTACACAGCAAACACTCTTAGAATGTTGAAAACCATAATGTGCAAACAATGTCTTTTCAGAAAAACATACTTGGTATGCCAACATTTCTTGACTTTTGTTGATTGTGTTTTTTCTTAAGGTACCACGATAAGGTTGTAATGAATGAAAAACTTCATTTAAAACTTAGGAAATGATGTTTCCTAACCATCTCCCGCCCCGCCAGCGTATAGATCTATTTTAACTCTATTGTAGTATTACCAAGGAGCCCCAGTGGCCCAATAGTTAAAAGCTCAACTGCTACCTGGAAGGTTGGCCGTTCATAGCCACTAGCTGTGCTATGGAAGAAAAGTGTGGTTTACGTCCACAAAGATTTACAGCTTTGGAAATCCTATGGACAGTTCTACTCAGTTCTACAGGGTCACAATAAGTTAGAAATAACTTGACAGCTATGGGCTTGAGTTTTTTTGGTAATATTATATTTGAATCCTAGAATTATAGTAGTATGCAACTTTGATCATTTATACATTTAGCAAACGTTTACGGAATACAGATTTCCTGGACTCGGGGGATTAAACAAAAGGGAGCCAAGGAGAGAACAAGAAGACTTAGTCTTGAGTTCAGGGAGTTTGTGTTACATAGGTATATAGGAAGCTGGCAATTGAAGAGCAAAGTTAAGACCTGGACTTAATCACAGCATGCCAACTGTGTGGTGGTGTAAGTGGGTCACTAATGATTCCTGTAGGAATTCAGGTGGAGTAAGATCATTCCTAGTCAGGGGAAACAAGGAGTTGGGCAGAACTATGCTTCTATGTCAACTGTTTATCGACAGGTATAATAAAAGCTCATTTACCTATTGATAATCTGTGCCAAGAGTTAAAGGAAAAGACGTTAAGTCAAGAATTTA